TATTGCAAGGTATAAAAGATTGGTTTCGTGGCATCTGAGAGAGAGAGTGGTTCTTGTTCGCGCATTGCCGGCTTTTGCAGGCACCAATTTGGGCTATTTCCTCTCAGTGCAACACACAATGACTTCCCAGGAATGTGCGGATGGAACTGCTGCGGCTGCTGCTGGTGACGAACGTGAAGAGTTAGTTCTTGCTCCTTTTATTAATTTACCCGTTCAATAGATTTAAATGCTGCTTTAATAGTTGCGGATGTGGGGCTTTTTGATGAGCTCTGGATCAAGAAGTTGCCAGTTGCATCACTGATATGAGAAAGCACGGGTTGATGATGTTTTTATGATCCATTTATTTTTATGACTTTTTTTTTGGCCAACTTTTATAATGGTTTTTTATCATTAATTTTTTTTACTCCCATTAATGGGCCGAACCATAATTTCTGAAGAGTAACGGCCGAAACGACCGAAATTCCAACCGTTTTTCACTAGTACACTTGACACAACGCTAGCACGATTTTTAAGTGACAGAGGTATGGTGGAAGAGATCCCCCAGTTACTTCGTGAAAAACAGCTGGACATCGTAAGTTTTTCAAATTTTTTATTTTATTTTCATTGTGAGCTGTGAATCGGCGAGTAAAATTACGATTTTTCAGCAATTTGGCGAACTTCCAGGTGCTTTTGTTGGAGGGCAAGAAGGCGTTCATCGCAAATCGTCTGAAGGAAGCTGAAGCAAAATTTAGTGAAGCCGCCGGTATTTCGTAAGTTTTTGTTTGTAATTTACGGTAAAATCAAAAGAAAGTCGTTGAGCGATATTCGTAGGTTCTGGTTCTGGTCACATTGCTGGGGCGACACCGACTGTATAAAAATGCAGTAAAGGAACGGTGATTAGTGCCACTGTTTTTTGTTAATTTCAGTGTCGAAATGTACGGAGATTTTGCCGTTGAAACATTCGAACCGCACTTCCTTTACGGCAAAACACTGCTTGAGCTGGCTAAAATTGAAGACAATGTTTTCTCCAGCGCTCTTCAAGGAGTACCGCTAAAAACACAAGGCGATAAGCAATTGGACGACAGCATCAGCGACCCGGAAGCACTTTCTGGTCCGATTCTTTTGATTTTCCGTCTTCGTATCTTCTAGCCAAAGCTGTGAACATATAGCCAAGGGTCGAAGAACACGGCTCAGATGAGTTTGTTCGTAAATGCATCCTAGCAAAATCCCAATTCCTTAACGATAATTCGACAATTTTGGTGGATTATGTTGGAAGAATGAAAAATAGGATTAGTCACAACGTGTGATCTACGTGTGCTGTATAAAAAGAACTTATAAATGAACGCATTTGTGAAGATTAGATGACAGAAGAGGAAAATAGTTGGGATAAGAAATCTGTGGAAGAATCATATTTATAAACACACACACCAAACACAGTGAAAGATCAGGAATGATAAGTAACAGCCATTAGAAGACCGAATCATAAATGGACGGTCCAAGTGGAGCGGCCGAGGTGGGGTAAATTACGGCCAGTCCGAACCGTGGAAAATATGGAACGGCCGTAATCCACCAGTTCAAGTTTAGGGTAGAATTAATGAATAAATTATGGTGGTGAAGATAGTAAGGCAGTTAATGTTTTCTCGAACCATCTCTGGTTATAAAATTTAACTACGTTTAAGCGGCGGAACGAGCGAAGATTTTGAAGCAGGTCAGTAACGCACTGGAGGAGAACGCTGAAATGTTAAAAAAGAAGTACGGTGAATGTCGAGTTGATTCAGCTGGCGAAAGTGACGCTGCAGATAAGGTGCACTGTCAAAAATTTTTGTGAATTTTCATTTTTCATCACACATTTGAAACACTAGAATTGACGGAGCTTGGGAATTT